CTTAATCTCATTTTCATTGATAAACTTTCATAAACAATGGATTAGTTTGTGGGAAAAGTGAGTAAAAAGGAAGTGGAAACTGATTGGGAGTGGGATTTAGATACTGGGAAGTTTTTGATAGTGATCAAAGGATTGGGAGTTTAAGTGGCACGAAAAAAATATGTTTTTAAAAATATATGAAAAAGTATATATAAGTTCCCTCATCAAGGCCGCATTCGCACAGCGACCTGTCGCGGACACAGATCTTGCTGAGGAATATCGGACTACTGTAGTAGTCTGATAGTAGGTCGAGTCTGAGCCTACACAAGGATGAAACATTGTAACGGGTAAGTTTAGGGTACTCGGACAACCAAGGCTTCCGTAACTCTGACGCCCACACATAATTTTGGCTCTTATATAGAGTCAAAAGCGCAACTAGCTGGTAGGAAGCTGGGTATCCTATGGAGGGTGAGACGGTACTTCACACCGAAACAATTGCTGAGCCTGTACCAAGCACAGGTTCGGTCCTGTATGGAGTACTGCTCTCAACTTTGGGACAGCTCGGCCAAATATCAGCTGGACGCGTTAGAGCACATTGAGAGGCGTGCCAGGAGGCTCATCGACGATGATGCGCTTGTGAAGGCTCGGCTTCAAAGCCTCGAACACAGGCGTAAGGTTGCAAGTCTTTCGGTTTTCTACCGGATACATTTCGGTGAGTGTGCGGGGGAAATGCACAACTTGATTCCCCCTAGTCCTTTCCATCATCGTACCCACAGAACATATAAAGGAGATCGTACCACAAAACAATCGGCGAAGCGTCACCGGAGCTAAAGAGTGGAATTCTTTGCCAAAATCTGTATTTCCTGAAGGGTTTAACCTGAGAGTCTTCAAGGCCCGCGTGAATAGGTTGCTTATGAGACGACGTGCTCCATCGTAGACCGCATCATCGCTTACTCAAGATAAACTCCCAAGAATCTAGCACAAAAATCATAGCTGAGCTTTTTGGGGCGCTTAAAAATAACCCGTGATTAGTGGGCGGCGTCTGTTATAAAGCTGTTGGTAACCATTAGTGCGATATCGTCAGCATACTGAAGGACATTACAGTTAAAATTTAAACAGGAGGGGAGGCCATATACATAATTATAAAGGATGGGACTAAGGACCGACCCCTGAGGTAAACCTCTGTACTGGTTTATCTTCAGAAGTTCTCAATTGGAGGGTACGATTGGAGAGGATTCAGCCTATAATTCGGCAGATCCTACTCGGGATTCTCAGCTGTTGCAGTTTCTACCTGAGAAGGGGTAAGAGGACAGAATCGTAGGCCGCTGAGATGTATAGGAAAACCGCGACCGTGACTCCTGCCTGCTAAGGGGTTGGGTTACGTATGTGAGGGCACATAAACTGTCAGCCGTATCCAGACAAAAAAATTAAATTCATGTCGAAGCTTAATGTCAAAGTCAAGATTATTTTGTTTTAATCTAAAGTCAACGTAAATAAAAACTTACCGTGAAAGGTTATTCCAGATATTTTCTTATAGCTTTTGCTGTTACATGGGTATGCACTGCACCATTTTATTTTAGCATTTTTATACGTTTACTAATTTCTTCCATGGTCAATATATATAGTATAGGTGCAGAATATCAAGAAACGTGATAGTAATAACTGAGAAACTTCGTTAATCTAATAATTTACACAGTAGACATGTACAACAAAAACCGAGGTTGTTTATTTACAAGTCCAGTGACGTCACAGCGAATGCAAACATGGCGTACAGCGTTTTTGACATTCGAAGCACAGATAAAAAAACTTGTATTTTCAAATTGAAATATTTAATTTATTTTGCAGTTTTATGAATAGAAATTAATATTTTTCGTTTGTTTTTTCATAAATGAACTATAAAAACATACATTTAGATTTTATTTTTCATAGTGCGTAATACCCTATTAATATTTTCTTATAAAATGAGATTGGCACAGTTGTACATACGTAAAAGCTTATCAATATGGCGGCACGGAAATGTGGCTTTATGTCGAAATTTGTCTCTGTGTGGAGCAGTGTGGCTACAGGTAAAAGAACGAGACGCCCTTACTAGGTTGGTGTTTGACAGAATCTATTGAAGTCTGTGTGTTTATTATTTTGAATAATTGCGCAATTTTACTGGTAACGTAGTAACCCATCACGCACGCACACATAAATACAACGGTAACATTTTGGTGCTTCAATCATATCGTCTATGATCATATCTCAGTGACATAGCATCCGCTTATTTTTCAACGTCCTTGTGGTGCAGGCGCTCGCGTTATATGGAGTTGAGTGTGCAAAATGTGACCGGGGCCTCATTCTATAAATTGTTTTGAGCTGAGAAAAGCTGGCAGAATATGTGTTTGGACGTGCCACGAGATTTATTGGTCTATTTTTTACCTCACCCCCTTAGATATAAGTAAATAGACTGAACAAGTATGTTTTTTCTGATGATAAAAAATACTTAAAACTGTTTGTATGCTTTAATAATAATGAAATGAAATGAAAATGAAATGAAACTTTATTTGTGATACATAGGTACATAAGTATCGTGAAACATACTAAATTAACTAAAAATCGCGGGTTCCTCACGTGAGTATACTGATAAAAACAGTACTAGTTTCGAACTACAGTAATGAGACCTTATTAAATCATATGAAGTGAGCCGCATCCATACCGCAAACATGTTCAGCAACTGCCGATGCTTGGATATCCATCTTCTTGCTGCTAAGATGCTGAACTGGGACATGAACATGTATCCATCAGTTCCTACTAATAGAATGACTTATTTGTACATGTCACTTGTTTTTTGGCCAGTAAGAATGTTCTTTTCTTTCTTTCTTTATGCTGCGTGTGTGTTGCTTCTCCGATGTAACTCGAGCTACATTCGCATGGTATTATGTACACTGCGGGCACAGCCAGCGGAGCTTCATCTTTAGGTAAGCGTAGTAGTTGTCTTAGCTAACCGCATGGACGGAAGATCGTCCTATTTTTTTTTAGAGGTTAAAATCATCGGATGACTTCTCCCGCCTGGGTGAGGCGGGAGGGCGGTGGTGGTCTGATGGCTCTTTGAGGCGCGCGCGAAACGCGACGCGCCGCACGTTCGGGTCTGGTTCTGGTTGGGCGGCGTACATGGGTGCTCGCCATCCGCAGGCCCGTGCTTACGGTGGCCGGAGATCGTCTCGTGATCCCCGACGCCCGAAGTGTCATTCGCGACAGCTGGGTTGTGAGGAGGCAACGCTTCGCTGCCTCATGTGCCCCGCCTCTTCCATGACTGCTTCGTAATAGGAGGAGACGGCATCCCAGTCCCCCTCGCTCCGCATCATGACCCAGACTAGGGCCGGAAGCGAGAGATCACCGTCGTAGATCACATTCCTGAGGGCACGGCGGTGCTCAGCTCACGCAGGGCATTCTCCAACGGTAGGAGAATGCCCTTAGCAACAGCAGCAACAGAATAGAAAACACAGGTTTTCCACTGTGTTCTCAGGGCGGATCAGACACAGATGCCTCCCGAAGGTCCCATGTCCGGTGAGGACCTGCGTCAGGCAGTATGTGAGGACGCCGTAGCGTCTTTTAAGCCGTCGCGGAGAACCTAACGGGTAACCGGGGCTCCGGCTCGACGTGCAGGAGAAGGAACGGGGTGGGTTTTAGTCAGTAAGAGTCTGACACTCCCGCCCAGGCGAGAGCAGTCATTCGATGATTTTCCCTCCTTAAAAAAAAACGTCTTTTAAGCCACTCCTCAAAGAGGGGACTTACCAGAGCCCAGGAAGATCGTCCTGATGCAGTATTTACGGCGCAGCAGTTGTCCGATTCTGTCAGTTACTCCTTCAAGAACGCTGGAGTCCGTTCCGTAACTGCCGGTCGCTTCCAACTCGAGATGTTCGCTATTCGAGTACATTGACGCACGTTGTATCCATTGTTTTTCAGTACCCGTTTTAAATTGTTGAATTCGTCGTTAGTAGGTCTTAGTGGCCAGTTTGACTTGTAGATTTTGGGCAACCCAGGTACAAGTATATCTTTGGTGGTGTTGGGTTTTGAGGACCAGTTCTTTGTCACTAAGGCCTTGCAGTAACTTAATGGTTTTCGTAGTTATCCTCGCTGTCGTATCATATGATACTTTTTTATATATTGTGATGTCACTTAGAATTTTCGTGATTTTATGCTCATACGCTTCAGGTCGACCACTACAGTCGCATTGCCTTTGTCCGCTGGTAGCACTAGGATTTCCGAATCATTACGCAAATCATGGAGTGCCGACATTTCTTTTACACACACAACACTGACTTTGTGCCGACTCGAACCCACTACCCACGCCACTAGTGAAAGTACCGTGCGCTTCAACATCGTTGCACGCGCTGCCGCCGGAGTTGGAAACAAACGCGCGTGATGTCCAGCACAGCAGCACAGCACAGCAGCAGCGTAAGTATCAACACTGATGCAAACGCCAACGATAAAGAAGAGAAGAATAAAAAAGTTTCACTTGCTGATTGACGTGCGTGGTGTGTTAAAGGTGTCTGTTTGTGTTACGGTTGAAAAAAATATATTATATTTTTTATTATATTTTGAGTTTAGTTTCAAGTCATATAAATATTGTTAATTTCATTACATTCGGTATTTTCATTATTACTTATATAGTCGAGTTGGCTATCCCTTGATCCGCGCATCACTACTCGTTATCTTTTGTCATTTTAGCTGTCACTTTTTGTAACTTCATATCATTTATTGTTGATGACGGGGAGTTGTGTGTGGATACTGTACACTGTATCTTGTGTTTTTCCTGTGACCGTAATTATTTTGTGGCTTACAAGAAGATAAATGTCGTTTATAAGTGTTACAATAGGTTATTTATTCTAATACCTAAAAGTGCTCGTGGTTTTTCTGTGCTAGTGAGTAACGTAAGAATCTATTAATAGTTTTTTTTTTTCATCAAATGCCTATAGTGAAATTTAGAATTAGTGTAGTTATGATCGATATATAATTTCGAAGTGGCGGCCAACGAGATGGGGCAAAGTCAAAGCTCTATGTTGAGCAAGAGTGGCCGAAGGAGCTCGTTCCGGAGGTTCGTCCGTCGGAGTAAACTAAACAAATCCAGTTTGAGTCACACATTCAATTTGCCGCCATCCGACGACTATCCGGAGCTGATGAACGTGAACACGGCGACGGAGGAGCAGCTGATGACACTGCCTGGCGTGAACAGGCAGTTGGCGCGGGAAATAGTGAGGCATCGGCAAATGATAGGTCGATTCAAACGAGTAGACGACCTCGCTCTTGTTTCAGGTAAATAGAAGGCGACCTCCTCGAGAGCTTTATTTTTGGTTTTTATATAATAAAATATAATTACTTAGTGTTATCAACATAATTAATATTATAACTAATGTTGTAGTTCTAATTTTTAATGAGTTAATTCAATGATGAGTAGGGCTTCTTACAAGTATGTCAAGGCATCAGTTCATGCATTAATAATTAGTACTTTTAACACACTATTGCTTTGGTAATTATCTGTAAATACAAGTTTTATTTCATGAAAATATTGAACTCAGCAGAGGCCGAGAGCACTCACATTATACATTTAAAATGAAGATACAGCTTTATAAAGTATACCAAACAGAAGTTGTAGGAACTATACATGCTATATAATTTTTATTTTAACTTTTTCAGTAACTACATACTGAAAAGCAGTTGGGTTAGAACATTTGTATTGAATGCAGTTTGTCACACACAACCTCTGCTCATTAAGATTTAGGCACTTAATACTATTATCAATGATTTCATTATTTATGTACATTTATGTACATGTATGTATAAAAGCTAAGGTACATTTTAAGAAAAGCATTATAAATTTAAAATAGGTGCTACTGTTGCAGAATTAATATTAACTCGTTGAGTACCGGTTTTATAGACACAATAGGTCGCGGTCACCGGTGACCGCTTGGTGTCTGACAGTTTAATCTGAAATCTGAAATACCGACCTTAATTTTCTGTTTATAGGAATAATCCCTGAAACTAGGAAATATATGGTATAACCAACAGTTTAAAAGTAGTTTAACTCCTCAATCCCCATGCAGTCACCGGTGACTGCTCTTCACTGATTCCATTATAGACCTTATTTTCAATATTTAGAGGCTATTTTTTTATGAACAAATATAGGGGATGATTTTCAACAGGTTAAATTGTTTTCAACCTTGTAACCAAACACTGCTCAACAAAACATTTTGATCCATTTATAAAAGAAAGCTGTGATATTTATATTAAAACTTTCATGAGAAATATTAAATTAATTACTTTGTTTTGGTCACGGAATGCAGCTTGAAACTTGTCAAGTTCCTCATCAAATAGTAATGTGAGCAAGCCGGAAACAATAATTAATCCTGTGCTATTGATATAGCAATAGACTTTATTCGATTAACATATAGTTATCAACAACAGGGACAAGATAATATAGTAATTAGGTATCTGCGAGATAAACTATCTGCTTCTATCTTGTATCATATCTAAATAATCTCATAAGATTGCAGTTTTTTTCTTTTAATAACCCGTATGTTACTTTTGAAGTACTACTATAGAATAAATCAATAGTTAATAATTTAACTAGTAATAATTTAATTTGATTTGTATAGTACATAATTGTAATCATAAAGAAAAGATAATAATCATTGTAAAGATTGATGTCTGTCGATGAAGTGAAAGAGGTATGTAGGAATCGTAGTAATTGGCGTTCCCTAGTCTTTGCCAACCCCCATGGGAGACAGGCGTGAAGTTATGTATGTACGTATGTATAATCGTAATCATATTTTAAATTTGCTCTTAACCTCTTGTCTGCTGGTATATGAGATATAAAATAGAATTCACATTGTATGTAGCATAGATCTGCATTCAAGTACAGAAGGAGTTATTGCAAATGATAGTAATTGGCAGAACTTCTTCGTGTTGGGTACGAATCTGTTTAGTTTACGCATGAAAATAGCAACTTGTTTCAAGAGTTCACTATATTATGATGAACCGTCATTATAGACACAATTAAAGAACAATAGGTTGCGGTCACCGGTGTCCTCGCGGTGTTTGACAGTTTAAGGTAGTGACTTAGGTTAATTAATAATCAAAATGTGTGTACATAGTTACTATTTTATGCTTGGCTTTATGTCTATTAACCAGTACGAAGAACTCCATTTTAGATTCTGGTACTGTAATTTGTATTGGCATTACTGGGGCTGTTTATAGCCAGTATAATGTGTGCTAATATTGTAATGTTAGATTACAATATTCAGATATTTTTGAATAGTGTCAATATTTTTGATTCCGAGAACATTAATTTATTCAAACATTGACGTGTAAAAGTGTTACTTTGTAACCCAACTGCAGACATAAATATTATTTCATTTCATTAAACCATTATATTGCTGCAATTTGTTATTAAGTAAATGATTTTCTTTTATCATATTATTGATTGCTTAGGAATGAGATATGTTTTAAATTATTTACATACAAGTTTTAATCATGCTTACATGATGTGATTCCATTAAATAGTCTAAGTCTTTACATCATTACATTTGTGTTACACAACAAAAAAGTACTTAAGGTAGGTCTAAATTAAAATAAAACTAAGCATAATAAATCTTTAAATAATCCAGAGTTTTCCTTTCAGGTATAGGTGCTGATAAACTAGAATTACTAAGGCCAGAGATATGCACAAATATAAGAAAACAAATATCTAGAGCAAGTTCACTGACACAATCTTTAGACAGCGTACGGATACAGTCTGAGAGCAAACTGTGTTCTGTAAACTCATCAAGTGTATTCCAGTTACAATGTGTACCGGGACTCAACCAAGAAATAGCCGCAAACATAGTAGACTACCGTAACAAAAAAGGCCCTTTTAAGTCATTAGATGATTTAATTAAAGTACGAGGAATGGATATTGTGAGGCTGAGTGCAGTCAAACCTCACCTAAGTTTGGAATCAAGGAAGTGTGAAAGTGTGCAACATTTAACGAATGGACATGTCAATGGTTGGAACGAAGTAGAGAGTATGCCCAACGGAGTCTCGAGTACTCCTAAAACTAAAACACCACCACATAGAAAGAGTTTATCAATGCCGAATAATACTAAGTATCCAATGACATTGCCAAATGGTTTTGCAACGGTACCTGTGAATGATATTTTGGACTTGCTATCTGCATACTCACATAGGCCTATTGTAGAAGAGAACTTCATGTATGAGCGAGACGGTGTTAGATGTTGTCGACTTGCGTCGTGGAATCTTCATGAGCTCAGTGTGGAGAAGATAACGAACCCTGGTGTGAGGGAAGTCGTCTGCAGGACTATTTTGGAAAATAAGTAAGTAGTTATTTTTATGAAGTTGGACCCACATTAGACTCCTCACTAGTTCTGGTTAAGTCTCCATTCCTACACAATATATTCAAAGTTATCTATAGCATAACATAACATCACGCCTTTTTATCCCCGAAGGGGTAGGCAGAAGTGCCATTACGGCACTTAATGCCACTGTACAATGTAACACCCACATTTCACTATTTATGTTATGAGTCCCATGAGGGTGAGCCTATTGCCATATACCGGGCACATTTCCAGACTCCGTGCTACTACTGAGATTTTTTAAAACCCAGTAATACTTTGCCCGACCCGAGAATCGAACCCGAGACCCCTTGCCCGGCAGTCGCAATTCCGACCACTCGGCCAACGAGGCAGTCTATCGGCAGTTATCTATATTAAAGTCTAATATCGATGCCCAACCATGTAAGATTTTTAAGACACCTCTTTTATGATATTAATTGATTTTAATTGTACATTGATGTTACCTTATTTCTTCTGGACCAGAAAAGAAGTTGAAACGGTTTTATTATTCCATTCACTTCGTGAAGTATATAATATAATTATGTGTAGCAGTCCCACCACAATGTTATAATTATTTCTTCCCACATTTGGTTTAGAATGAAACCCACATTGTTGTGTCAATGTTTTGATTTACAATCGTTATTGTAAATATTTTCATAGCCTTTTGTATAAAATCACTAATAACTTCACATGCCAAGTATAGAAATAATTAAAGCAATTAATATTGATAGTTATATTTTTTTTATATAACAGATTTATGACTTCTAGTGTTCCATTAAGTGATTTAAAGAAGTTCAGCCTAGGCACAGTCTTTAACACTAATTTAGGCGGTTTATTAGGAACGTTCAGATCTTGGTGCCTGGTGTTTCATAATAAGCTCCCTTCGTATTAAAATGGATCTAATAATATAACAGTCCATATCGTAACTACAAGAAAGATACCTATTACCAGTAATTATTAAGGTAGTTCAGAAGAAATGTAACAAAATTCAACACAAACTGAAAGTATGCTATTTTATTCATGCAACTGGTATGTGACAGTGATATACATTAATGTAGAATACCCATTTAACTTATTAAACTGCAGGCTTATTTCCTCATACCTTATCAATGGCGAGAACACAAGCACACAGCTAAAGACCGTATTAATTTTATGTACGTCATGAAAATTATATAATTTTTACGGGTAAATAGGTCGGCTCCTATGTATCGTAGCGTGATGTTTTATGGCCATCCTCGATAAATGGATTATACAAAACAAAAAACAAAAATAATTATTCAATTCAAACCAGTAGTCAATATGTGTGGGAGAGCTATGCTTCGGCACGAATGGGCCGGCTCGACCGGAGTGATACCACGGCGTCACAGAAAACCGACGTGCCGTTTCGTCGTGTGAGTGAGGTTACCGGAGGCCTATTTAACCCCCCCCCCCTTGTCTCCCCAATCCCAGAATTCCCCACAATCTTAAAATTCCTAATTCCCAAAAGGCCGGTATTGCACTTGTGACGCCTCTGGTGTTTCAGGTGTCCATGGGCGGCGCCGAGTGCTTACCATCAGGTGATCCGTCTGCTCGTTTACCGAACTCTGCCATAAAAAAAAAGTTTCAGAGATTAGCGCTTTCAAACAAATAAACTCTTCAGCTATATAATATTATTTATTAATTATTTATGCAGACACATACAACACAAAGGACAACAGATATATAAAAACGAGGTACATAGGTCCCACATATTCCAACTGGAATTTCTTCCTGTGGGCCTGTGGCAGGAAAAGAAATAAAGACATTATTAGTATAGATTCGATCTCATTGGGAATTAAAACTCAATTGTAAATCTGTGGAAAATCAATGAAAATCCGTTCAGTTGTTTTGGAGTTAAAACATAGAGAAGACCTAAAAGTGATATGTCAAATAAATTTTGACGTTTTCGAAATAACATAGCTGTCAATGTCACATTAAATGCCTAGGTAATAGGTAATATAAATATAGCAATTTCTGCCATTCAGTCACCTTGGACTTCATATTCTATTCTATAGGTAGTTAAACAATTATGAACGTATTTCCCTGTTATTATAACACCACAAGCTATTATTTATGCGTTTCCTGTCACCGTAGCATAACTGTTAATCCTTTTGACAGTTAACACCACATTATTATCAGAATTACTATGTAATAAAAATAATTTGCGACAAAATTGAATTGGAGACTCGGTTATGGTTCCCGAGTTAAGAAGAATAATTGATGATCTGCCACAATGGTCTCCCCCCCATTTTCCAACATCCACCCCCATACTCTATCCGCCATCTCCCATCCGCCATCCCTAATCCTATAAAGGCTAACAACGCACTCAATAACTCCTCTAACGTTGAGAGCGGTCATGGGGGGCACCGATTGCTTATTATCAGGTGATCAAACTGCTCGTTTGTCGTCCTTTAGGTACAGTGGCCAGCAGTCTACATTCGATTTTCGACTTAATGTCAATACTTACAATAAAGTTGAAGATGTAATAAAGAAATTTGACAGAAAAGGATAGTCGACTTGCTGGCCATCGTACCATAAAAATCACCAATAATAATACTACTTTCATTCTAATTATCCTTTTTTTCACCAGGTTATCGCTAATAGCCGTACAAGACGTATTAGAAGAGGCTGCGTTGAAGATCATCTGTGATGAATTAAATTCCCCCGTTTTAAGGAGGATCAGAGAATGGAGGTGTAATAGCCAACGGTGGCAGTACTGCTTGTCTGAACGAATAGAAAGGTAAGTCATGGCTTCAATACATATTTGACTGTAGGTCCTTCCCCCCTCAAAATGCTAATATTAAAAAGGCCAGCAACCCAATTTTCTTGTAACTTATTTAATGTTACAAGTGTCCATGGGTGGCGTCGATTGCTTAACATCAGGGGACCCGTCGCCTTGTTTGCTAAAAAAGGAATAGTTATCATCAAGAGGCCATTAATTACAGTAATAGTCTATTTCTTGGTTATGTGGCTCCCTCTACCATAATGTTAAGTTCGGCAGTCGGGTGGCGATCACAGATGCTATTCGGTCTCTGTCGAATATGTATGTCTGTCCATTCGTCGGGTATTGGGACACCACGGAAGCAGCAGGGGTGGTAGAAAAATAGCATAGATACTAAATTAACTAAAGGGGTTCTTCCTCTTGAGCAGCCTACATGACATCGCCGAGACCGCGCACGCTGCTCATGAGTAAGAACCCCTCTGTGGTTCGAAACTAGTAGAGCTTTCAGTATTTTCACGTTAGTTACCAGCGATTTTAAGTTAATTCAGCATACTGAGACATATCTCATGATAGTTGCTATAAAAAGCATAGATACTATTGTACATTCAACGAAATCGTAATAATCGTAAAATAGTTTTCGAATCGATTTGCTTACAAATACAGACATAACTAATTCAAATGAAATTGATTCACTTGCGACTCAATTCCAAACTGGCGAATTACTACAAAATGTTTTCGACTTTATTACTCAACGTTAAGGTTGAAAATCTTACAGAAAATTTTCCGATTTAGTATACCTTGATGTGCACATGACAGGGTAAAGGTAAAGCGCTTTAAAATCGTTCGCGTGATCGTATTGTGGGGACAATACGTCATTGAAAAACACGTGTTTTGGAGTATTTGAATGATAACAAATATAATCGATATGTTTTACAAGTGTTGGTAGCGATTAGATTGCGTATTATTTTATAAATCTAGCTCGCTTAGAGGTTGAGATTCGACCGATTTTTGATAGGAAATACTTAGAGACTAATTATAGCTTTTGGCCATAGATTTACGTTGTATCAAACCTGATGATCGTAGCTAAAATATAAAAATGGCAATGATTAACATAACCGCTCCTCTATTTTCAATTCCTTGCATCAATTACGCTTTGTACATGACAGAAGTCCTAGCTACCGGTTCGCTTAAGCGATGTCACGCTGCCAAGCTACGCAGGCGTGGGTAGCACGAAGCTTTATTATTTAATAGCTTGGCGACATGCAAAGGAATTAACATAATGTTACGGCAGGCTTAGATTGCAGTTCACCGAACTTTTCAGCTATTATTCTCATAGTTGACTAATGCCTGCGAGGCTGCGACGATCCCTGCACAAAAACTAGTCAACAATTTCATGTACCTATCTCTGTAACACAGAGATTAAGGTGAATTTAGTCATTTTGGATGTAAAACCGTGATTGATACAACTTCACATTTATATTATAATACTTTAAATGAACTGGTACATGTAGTATCATAGTGGTCATCATTATCAGCTACAGGATGTCCACTGCTGAACATAACATTTGTTTGTAATTAATTATAAGCAATAAGTCAGGATTAAATAGTTCGCATTTATCGCATTGGGTCATCCTGTAATGGTAAATGTAAGTAAGTAAATAAATAAATAAAAGAAAAAATAAAAAAATAAAATAAGTCTTCCCCAGGGACGCCCAGAGACCTTAGTTTACAAGTTAGTTTTACGTTAAAAGTAATTGTAACGAGTACGCGTTCGACGTTTTGATTGGTTGGTTCATTGGCACCGGCCAATCACAGCGCCGAACGTGTGCACTCGTTTCGAATGCTTTAAACGTATATCAAACTCGTACTAAGACCTCAGATCGTACGATTTATCAGGTCATCTGTCCACCTCTGAGTGGATGCCGCAGAAATGTGTAGTATGAAATATAATTACTTGCATTTATAAATTAACCATAACTAATGAATGAGTTCCTAAACAATAGGTTAGATGCCTAATTTTTATTTTAATGTCCGTCTGGTAATTTATTTTAAATCATTAGACACGTATTTTTTATTTTCTTACAGAAACGAATACTTTCGACGATATATTGATTTGAAATGTCACGTGACGTCACTTCTATGTACATTTTATACGTAGAAATGACGTTTTAGCCCCCATTCCTAAACTTTATTTCGTTTTATCTAAGTATTGTTTTATTATACGACAAAATAAAAAAATACGTGTCCAATATTTATTCATTACCTAACTTACGGACTAATTAGATTTTTAATTTTCATACCCTGTCATCATCCCAATTAAGTACTAGGTATATTCCCCGGGTTATCATCAGATATTCTTCCAGAATTGGCTCATAAAAGCCTTTTCCAGTAACAATCATTTCACGATACTATGAACAGAATGTTCCACATTCCTCAAGGTCACAGCTAAAGTGTTGGAAAATGCGGTGAACCGCACACCCCTTCCCCTAACGAGGTTGCTCAATGTCACCTTAATAGGAACACACTTGTTGCATACTAAACTAAGCCGTAACACTAAATAGTGGTAATTTATTCAATGTTAACGTATACCTTTGAAATGTAGGTATTTTTTCTTCGTTAAAGTTAGAAGAAATTGTCTTTCCATCTCCTCTCTTTTTTCTCTCTCTGATAATGATAGATTACTCTTTGCATGAGTGTAGTTATAGCTGAATAAAGGACTACATGTTTGACGGGCACTGGGCAGCAGCGCTCTCTGATGCCTAAATCCCTTAACTACGTTTTTCATCCTGCCTGCCAAGCGAGGAGATTTTAGCAAACCCTCTTATGAAGAGTGATGCATCCCATACTCCATCAGTAGACTGTCGTTGGTTGTTGATATTGATCTTTTCTCTTAATATGTATGCATATATTATAAGATACTTATAGATGATATCCTATAAGTATCTAGCCTCCGCTGAGGAGATTGCCGAACACCGGTACATGTGAGGCAAGCGCCAATGTTCGCCGGTTGTTCGCATGTGTCGTGATCACCCCGGAGTGGTAGTATATAGTCGGTGCCTTTTAGTCGCGGAGAACCGAACGGGTTACCGGGGCTTCGGCTCGAAGTGCTGGAGAACGGGGAACGGGGTGGTTTTTAGTCAGCAAGAGTGTGACACTCCCTCCCGCCTCACACAGGCGGGAGCACTCAATAGATGATTTTCCCCCCTTAACTAAAAAAAAAAATATGTTTGTCTTCGAAGCAATTTCTATGTTTCCAACAACTTCTGTCAATGTTTTTTTTTTATACAGAAATGTTAAAAAGAACGTTGTCATTATTTTAAATTGAGGGCGTTACAACCATTTCTCCTTGATGACGAGGACAATGAGCTCTTAAAGTTGTAAAACCAGATATTTATCTACCGTTATCTACATACGTTACGTTAGACAGGATGCTTAGTACATTAGTGACCCGTGCCACACTGCATATTTAAATTGTCGGAAGTTTAATTATAGGAGGCGATAAAATGCCCAATACTTGCATGTCTTGCATACAATTTTAATCGATGTTAATAAACCTGATAAGTTCGTCCTTATCTTAACGTGGCGCATGCTAACCTTGAGCATAAAACCTGGGCAATGTGAACATGTTACAACATGTGGAAACGTGCATCGAAGGTGGTTTGTTTTACCACGTAATAAGTTTTAAGTCCAAAAAGCCGTGGCCGAAAATATCAATAACTCCAAAGTAAGTCGGTAAACTACATATAGACGAAATACAAAAAACTCTACTCAGCCTCAACAAAGTTAGCATACATTAAATCGTAGAGCTATAAAAAGTTAACAATACAATGATTGTTCATGGCAATAACGTTACGTCGCGTCGCTCGGAGCGAGTCTAATCGGCGGCGTCACGTGTACTGCCACGACCACGACCTGAGTTAGTGTCTGATATGTTGTGATCACCCAGAACTAACTTTACTGGCAGACAAGCATTTCAAAAGTGCCTATTTTAAAGAATAATGGTAATAATTGTTTTGACTGTGATCATGCCAGTGCTGTGTGGTGACGACATTACACATTTGTCTTTGCCCCTTCTTGTGGTTATCGTAAAAGAAGACTAAAATCTGCGCATAAAAACTGCCCATTTAATAAAGGCCGGGCACCAACACTCATGGATAAACCTGATACTTTTAAAATGCGATTGCTAATGAAACCTTCTTTTATACAAACTCCTCATCCGTAGAGGAGGTCCATAATCCAGCATTAGATAGTTACAGGCTGTTGATATGACGTTGTGATCATGGTCCGGTCCAATATGACATGAATATGATGGGTGGCCGCGGATGTTATGAGAAATTGAGGAGTTTTATAAGAAACAATTCTCATAATTGTCTAGCTCGTCCCAGTTCTATATAACCGCTTTTACGATAAAACTTTTGTTCTTTTATACAAATATTGAATGTCGTTTTAATTCTAAAATCAGTTCCCTGTAAAACTAGTATATTACTAATGATATAACTTATAAACCAGGTCGTATTCTCCATTGAAAACGCCAGTTCCTGAATGAAATTCCATGAAACTATTACGATACCAACAATAACATTTCTATTCTTAGTTTCTTAGTAAAACCAGACGTGAAATTACGAATATCTTCGCACATCTGTTCTATCTAGTTATTTAAAAGGTCGCAAGCTGGACTATTCTCATATGTGATTCTTAAAACCCGAAAAATATGCTTAGGGATTTAAATTTTTGATGACTCTGTCTTAAGTGGCATGCAGTATCGAAATCGAGGAAGAAAGAAAAGAAAGAAGAAGCATTTATTTGACAGTAGGCACGCACACAGATACAAAAAAAAAAATATTTATACACTATTTCGATCTGCCATCAGCTATTCAGCCGTAATCAGATGTTATGTCTTGCTTTAGTATTTCAGAAGGTATTCCATTGAATTCTCTCCTTACCATCCCCAGAATTGTCTACCCTTAATTAGTGTCTTGTATCTAGTTGCATTTGTTCAGGAGTCGCCCTTTGTACTT